TCTTCCTTTAGGTTTTCAAGACTCATTATGATATGACCCCATCTCACCTACAAAAGCATGTGTCTTCTTACTTCTCAATGTGACACAGATTAATATCAACCAGGAGAACATTTGTTTTAGGGTTTTTGTCTTCATTTCTGCCTGTTAAATATTTTTATTATTATCTTATATGAAAATACAGTGTCATGTCTCACTCATATAAGCCTGGAGGGTTAGTAAACACTTTGAAGTACAAGATGAGGATCCCCAAATCATCTCCATGCACAGAATATCAGACCAACCTAACAAGATGAAATGATCAGAGATCTATATAAAACCTCAGCAATGCATAATGGACCAGACATGGCTTAGAGGCAATTCAGGTAAGAAAGAGGAGGGGGGAGGGGGAGGGAGGAAGGGGGAGAGAGAGAAGTAGTAGTTCAGGTGAAACAGAATCACAGAATCAAGGGGTTTAGTAAGTTCAGTGTAAGTCATCAGCATAATATGGTTGCCAAAAGTAAATTCAATTTTAGGCCATATTAATAAGAGATATAATGTTTGGAATAAAGGAAAGGAATGATAGTCCTGCTTTTTTTTTAATTTTTATTTATTTATGATAGAGAGAGAGAGAGAGGCAGAGACACAGGCAGAGGGAGAAGCAGGCTCCATGCACCGGGAGCCTGATGTGGGATTCGATCCCGGGTCTCCAGGATGGCACCCTGGGCCAAAGGCAGGCGCTAAACCGCTGTGCCACCCAGGGACCCCAGTCCTGCTTTATTCTAAGTTGGCCAGGTGTCATCATGGAAGTGACTGTTTAGTGAACTGGGAATGTTTAGGCTGGAGAGGAGAAGAGTGAGGAATCATTAAAGCTCAATTATGTGAAGGGCTATCATGGGAAAGAAAAATTAGACTCACACAGTGTGTGACCCCAAGAGGTAGTGTGTGGGCTAAAAAGTGGAGACCACTGGGAGACAGAGTTCAGCTCAAAGGAAGGAAAAACAAATGTTCATTTACTGGGGCACCTGGCTGGCTCAGTCAGAAGAACATGTGACTCTTGGTCTCAGGATCATGAGTTCAAGCCCTATGTTGGGCCTAGAGCTTACTTTAAATCAATCAATAAAATAAACTTTAATTTAAAAAAAACCCCACAAATGTTCATAAACGGAATGGGCCGCTTTAGGAGATGGTAAGTTCCCTGCTACTGGAGGGGTTCAAGAAGATGGTGGTACACTGCTCTAAGTTCCCCGCTACTGGAGGGGTTCAAGAAGATGGTGGTATACTGCTCGAGGGGTGTTGTGGGAGGTGGGGGAGGCAGTTGCACATCAGAAAGAACAGTAACCCAGGTTGTTGGTCTTTGTTGAGGCCCCTTCCCACCAAGATCTGTGAGTTCTCCTTTTGTTCTTTCTGTGCCCTCATCAAGCCCTCCTGTTCCCCTGGACCCAAGGTCAGTCTCCCCTTTCTCCGAAGGTCTCCCTGAGGATGCAACCTGCATGATTACATCATGTCCACATCTTTTAGTTATTTACCTTCTTTTATTGTGTTGTAACTGTCTCCACCTTATAAGCTCCTCGAGGGCAGGTGCCTGTAGTACCTGTTACAGGATCAAAATGTATTAATCACTGACCTTTCTCAGCCTCCCTCTGTCTCCCTCCCCTCAGCCCCAAGATAATCTTATTCTTCACCTGTTGGAAATCTTGTCTTGGCTGCTCTGTTCCAGGGCTGCTATGATACAGAACTGAGAGAGTAGCAGGTGAGCTACGGGAAGCAGGAGCCTGGCAGCTTTCCTATGTGTTGGGGAGAATCTGGGTAACAGGTGAAAGGAAAGGAAAGTAATGAAGCCCGACAGGCTAAGCCAGTCCATATGATGACAGGAGAGCAGGCAAAGAGAGCCAGAAGAGCTGTGTTGACTACAGAGGACAGAGACGGGCAGAGAGGGAGTCCAAGCTGTTGCCAGGTGAGGCTGGATAGAAGAGGAAAGGGACCTTTAACAAGTGACGCTGTACCTTATGAGTTGGATCATCAGGAGATACAAATAAAAATTGGGATTCCTTCTTCTTGGTTGTGGGAAATTATATGGGTCATGGGATCCTAGAATATATTTAGGTTTCCTGTCCTGCAACTTTTGTGGGACCCAGCATGGTGCCAGGGTGTAGGCACCTCATGGGGCAGTAACCCCAGTCCCAGCAGACAGAGCAGACATGGTCCTGAGGCCGTGGGATTCTGCCCAAAAGACTGGAACATTCTTCTCTTTCTCTTACCTCAGAGGTATGTCTTGTAAAACTATTTCCTAATCTGAGGCTTCAAGTTACAAATGCCCTACCTAGCAGTTAGAATCGGCTATGGGTCTTGACCGATGGAGAAAATGAGCCCCGGGACAGTCCATCAGCTGGCTTGAAGTCACAGAGCTGGTTTTAGGCCTGGCTGGGACGAAGACACTGGGCTCAGGGATTTGTCCCCAGTCCAGGGATGCTATTTATCCATTGGGCCAAGGAGCTACATGCATGTGAAGAGAGTCCTGATGAGAGAGAAGGGGGGACGGGCCGGGGGCCTGGGGCAGCTGAGCACCCCTCCCTGTGTTCAGAGTCCTGCACCAGGCTCTGGGGGATGTCCAGATAAGGAGGCCAAGCCTGCCTTCCCAGATCTCATGGCCTCACAGGGAAATGAGCCAGACACAGGAAGAAGTCCAATGGAAAGTTGGAAGCAAGCACTGTGGTGGTGTGGTGGGGAGGGTCTAGACTGGAAATCAGGAGGCCTGGGCACCACTGCCAGCCATCACTCACCAGCCACCATCCTAGCACCACTCTGGGCCTCAGTCTCCTCACCTGTGAACATTTTTTTTTAATTAATTTACATTTTTTGGCAGGGAAGGGGCAGAGGGAGAGGGAGAGAGAGTCTTAAGTAGACTCTGTGCTGAGCAGGGAGCTGACAGGGCTCCATCTTAAGACCCTGAGAACATGACCTCAGCGGAAACCAAGAGTGGGAGGCTTAACCCACTGAGCCACCCAGGCGCCCCCACCTGTGAATATTCTATCTCTTAAAAACAAAAGCTCTCTAGTGCTACCTAAGAGCATATTAATGCAGTAACTAAATGTATCCTGTGAGTGCCTCTCCCCATGCTTTCTCCTAGCACAATCTCACAAAGGCTCTTGCTATCAGTTGATGGCAGAAATTAAGATGTTCCCAGGACTCAGAACTTCCAGTCAAGGTGCACGGTGAGGGGTAGGAGGTAACTGTGGCTTTCTCTGGGCCCCTGCCTCTGGTAGCCTCTCCTGGGCTTCTGAACACCACTCCCCCCTCCCGGAGCCCACCAGAGCTCTGTGAATGTTTCTCTCCCCACTAACCAAGCCTGCTGTTTAATTGTTATCTTCCAGATAAAGAGCCTGAAGATAAATTCATCCAACCCTTTTGGTTTACATTTGAAAAAAATCTAAGGCCCAGAGACAGAGTGTGATTAGGCCAAGGTCACACGTGACTAGGCCAAGGTCATATACTCTTGACTCTCAAGTCAGTCTCTTTCTTTTGTGACTCCGGGAATTTATTAGAAATGGATTGTTTGCGGGGAGGGAGCCTCTGCTGCTGGCTCAGACAGTAGAGCTTGCAACTCTTGATCTTGGGGTTGTGGGTTTGAGCCTCATGGTGGTGTAGAGAGACTTAAAAAATTAGAATCTTAAAAAGAAAGAAAGAAAAGAAATGGGTTGCTTGGGAATGTAGCCTTACAGATCCTCCCCTCCTCCCTCATAACATCTGGTGAGATCCCTTGCTGGGTTCCTGGTTTATCTTTAGGCCTCCGGTGAGACCTCCTGCCTGCCTGGCCAGAACCACACCTTAGGTGGGAATAGTAAGTCTCAGCTCAGATGCTGCCCTGAGTTTGCAGTCAACTTTCCAGACTCCCAAGTCCAGGATAAGGGTCTCTCTTAAGTGCTCCCCAAGGCTTCGAGACACTGCATTGAGATCATTTGTTCACTTGTTTGTCCCCACCCAGACTGCAGGCTCTGAGGGCAAGACATCGGTCTTGTTCACCAACACATACCTATTGTCTGGTCCAGCGCTCTGCTCTTTTTTTTTTAATTTTTTAAAATTTATTTATGATAGTCACACAGAGAGAGAGAGAGAGAGAGAGAGGCAGAGACACAGGCAGAGGGAGAAGCAGGCTCCATACACCAGGAGCCCGACGTGGGATTCGATCCCGGGTCTCCAGGATCGCGCCCTGGGCCAAAGGCAGGCGCCAAACCGCCACACCACCCAGGGATTCCCCCAGGGCTCTGCTCTTCGTAGGTCCTCAAAAAATTTTTTTTTCTGGGATCCCTGGGTGGCGCAGTGGTTTGGCTCTCCTGAATAAATAAAATCAAGAAAAAAAATTTTTTTATTTATTTATGATAGTCACAGAGAGAGAGAGAGAGAGAGGCAGAGACATAGGCAGAGGGAGAAGCAGGTTCCCTGTGGGGAGCCCGATGCGAGACTTGATCCCAGGACCCTGGGATCATGACCTGAATCGAAGGCAGATGCTCAATCACTGAGTTACCTAAGGAGTCCCCTCAAAAGTACTTTGTGAATGAATAAGTAGAGGGGGTTGGTCAGAGAAGGATTCTGGGAGGAAAAGGCAAATGTTGAGTCTGGTATCACAGCCCGAAAGGAAGGAGGACAGAATCTTTTCCCTGTTTGGGTGAACCGCCCCTAGAAGAAGGAAGTCTTAGACGGTAATGGGAAATGGGGAGAGGGAGGGAAATAAGGCAACTGAAAGGAAAACTTAAGAAGGAGGAAGGAAAAAAAAAAAAAAAAGAAGGAGGAAGGAAGCTTGCAAGAGCATGACCTCCAATAACCTGGGAGGGCTTCTCAGGGGATGAAGGGTCTCAGCCCTGAGCAGGACAAAGCTTCCTTCCCCTCCAGCCAAGCGCCCCCTGGGTTTCTCCCCCTACAAGAACTCCTCTCGAGGGATTCTAGGCGCTCACAAGCACTTCCCTTTCTCCCTCCCCCCCCCCCCCCCCCCCCGCTCCCCATGTCTGACTCCCGCCAGGAGCCTTCTCAGAGGCTTCCTTACCTCCGGAAGTGCTATTCCTCCGGGAGGAGCACTCCAGCTGTCTCCGAAGCCCTCCTTCCACCCAACCGCACCTGAGCACAGCCCGAGGCAGCACCTGCTAGACCACATCTAGCCACCAGGGGGCACACAAAAAGCAGCCCTTAGGTCAGGGTCCCTGCCCCTCCCCACCCACACACACCTGGAGGCCAAGAGGGGCGGTGCCTCACCTGGCTCCCACACGGAGCCGGGGAGCCCCGTTAACCCCTTCCTGCCCAGCCTGGGCGGCTTCCCTCAGGCAGAGTCATTCATAGAATCGGAAGGCCGATCTGATGGCGGAGGGGGTGGTGCCCAAGCAAGGGGCGCCAGGGTGGAGGCGACGTCAGGGTTTCCAGATCCTCGGGCCCTCGTCCCGGCCGGAGCTGTTGGAGGCTGGCACTCCCTCCTCCGTGGGGGAGCGGTCTCCGCGGAAGGTGAAGGAGCCCCCCGGAGGCGAGGGGCACCGGGGCTGCGGTCACCTGCGCTGGGCCTCGCGGGCGGTACGGAGAAGGTGGGGCAGCCGCGGAAGCCAGACTTCCGGGTTCTCCGCAGCCTTCGGTCTCCGGCAGAGACCGTGTAGCGACCAGTGGGGCCGGGCGGCGGGGGCACGGGGATCAAAGAGTGGAGGGAGGGACGCGGGGGACTGCGGTGGCGGGAGGGGAGACAATTAAGATCTGGCAGCAGGATGGACCGGATCACGCAGCTCTCAGGTGCCAGGTTTTGTGGCGTCTGTCCTCCAGCACCCGGCAGCCTCCCGGGGCTCCGAGCAGCCCCGATCCCGAGACTGCGTTCCGGGCCACAAGGTGTTAAACCGTGGTGGGAGTGGGGTCCGGAGTCCCTCCCTCCTTCCCTCCCTCCCGGCGTCCCCAGCTCGGAGTCTACCCGGCTGGCGCGCAAGGAGTTAAGTCTGCCCGCAATCTGCAAGACTGGAGCAGGGGAGGGGGAGGAGGGGGGAGGGGGGAGAGAAGAAGGGGGAAGCAGACTGCAGGGAGACAGCGCCAGGAACCCCCTCCCCAGGGACCTGGCCCCTGGGCCCCCAGCCCCAAAAGAGGCCCTGCCCTCCCCGGGGTCGTGCTCCCTTCCCCCGCCCAGCCTCCGCCCTCCAGCTTTGTGTCCCCAGGAGGGTGGGCTGCAGGATTTCCAGCCAAGCCTTGGCTGCCTGCTCAGTTTTTCCAAACCCTCCAGTCGGGGAAGGCGGGAGCCCTGTCAGGATAAGAGTCCCTCCCCCACTGCCCCCGCCGGCCCCCTCTCACAGCCTCCTTTTTCCTGCCCCCCCACCCCCCGCACCTCTCCCAAACTTCTTTCCCTTTCCGATCCTGGCCCCTGCGCCCCCTAGCCCCACCTCTATTGGCTCCCAAGTTCCAAGTTCAGGTTGGAGGGGCCAGGTGGGTCCCCGATTCCCGGCGAGGCGCTGGGAAAGGCAAACTCCGCAGGCCGACACTGAGACCTGCTGGGCGCCCGCCCGACTCCCAGCCTGGCGCCCGCCCCATCGCAAGACGTGGCCCCAGGTCCACCCGGGAAGGTGGCTCAGGGCGCTCTCCCGCCCCGGGAGGGAGCTGGTGCCGGGGGCGCCGGCGGAGCCGGGCAGCCGACTCTGGGCGGCCGGTGCCAGGCCTCGGGGCACGCTTCGAGGAGGGGGCAAAGTGTTCCGAGCGCTGGCACGGTTCTGTCCAGCAGGTCTATTATATAATAATCACCATCTATCAGGAAGCCAGGCAGCTGGAGTGAGTGCAGAAGCCAGGATGCCCGCATCCGCTCCTCCTCCAGGCCCAGGAAGAGGTCTCCACCAAGATGGGGGTGTGGGCGCAGCCCAGGAGTGAAATGACGTGGGGGGCGAGGGGCAAGTGAGGGGCCCTGGGCTGTCCGAAGGCGGCCCCGAAAACCCCGCCCCCAGGACGGTGACTGACGGTGCTCTGAGCCAATGATTGAAGTCACTGTAGGGCTCGAAGTTAACCCTTTCTTGGGTCCTTCGTTGCTTTAGGGGATTAGAGTCCCTTCCTGAACCCCTCCCACCTGCGGGAGGTTAGTGAGGAGTCCCAGCTGGAGGATCCTTTTGTCCCGATCACCTCGCGAAGTAATCTCAGATAATCAGCGGCCCTAGCGCCGCGCCCCTCCACCCCGCACCCCCCCCCCCCCCGCCTCCAGCCCCAAAGTAAATTGTATTACATGATGTGGTTGTGTGTGCACACTCTGTGGCTCCAGAGACAGGCCCGCGTGGCGCCGGCACCCTCACACACCCATACCCACGCCGGTACTTCCACTGACACTCGCTGACACACCTGTGACACTCCTCGTGACACAGTGACACACAGATACACGGGAACACCCGGCGATTCCTCGAGTTCGCCAGTAGAGGGAGCCGCTCGATTCCAGCACTGGGCCGCCAGCCCCTCTCCGGCTCTCCTCGCTCGCTCCAGGGTTCCACCCAGAACTCGTGGCTGCCCGGAGCCCAGCTCCGCATCCCAACCTGGAACCTACGCTGGGGGAATGAGTCACAGCCCCACCCAGGGGAGCGCTCTACATGGCTGCTCCACGGGACATGCCAAGTACGCTTGAACTTACTGCATTCCACATTTAACAGACCTTTTGCAACACAGCCATCACTCATCTCCTGCAAACGTTGTTTTCTGGATCTCCTGTGAACCGGGGGTTGTGCCAAAGGATCATAACATGCCCATGTGATTTGTCATGTATGTAGCGGGAGACTGATCCACATATATGGGGTGGACCCTTCTCCTAACTAGCATCCTGTTTGAGAAATGGCCCTTCCTGCCTTCTGGCTGGTTGTATTATAGCCGCTGGACCCTTGAGAGAAAGAGAAAATTAAACCCTACTTGCCATGGGTCAGCTACTAGGCTCTAGGATCTTTCACACTAGCACTCAGCTTCTCTGGGCTTCAGTTTTCCTTTAAGTGAGAATCCCTACTTCATGAGGTTGTGATGGTTCAACCCCTAACTGGGGCTTGGTGTTTGGCACCACAATTAGTAGGCATTGGGGGGAAGTTTTGCTGACTGGATCAAAACATGATCTAGATACAATATATATGAAGATGCTTTGTGAACTGATACTAGACACACACACAAGGGTTATCATGTGATCTTTTTTTCAGGGTTTGTCCTGCATCTCCCCCTGTACCTGCTCAGACCTTGTCCAGTGTCCAGCTGCTGCTGGCATTATCAACCTATCAAGTGAGGATTTGCTTTGTTTTTGTGTTTTTTTGTTGCCGTTGTTGTTTTCCCCCAGCAAGTGAGTATTTACAGAAGCCCTACTATGAACCCAGCACTTGAATACTGTGGAGAATAGAGAGACATAGGAAGCATGGGCTGGGCTGGGCCCTCAGGAACCGTTTGGGACAACCAAACATATATATATATATATATATATATATATATATATATGAGAATGTATATATATATGAAACAAAACATACAAGTAGGTCCTCTGTTGGTTGGCAGAGGCATAATAGGTAGTCAGAAGAGAGGGTGAGGACTATCCGGGGACCCAGGAGGGGCAGGGAAGAGGGCCGTGGAACCAAATATCAGGAGCAAACAGGCTTGTTAGTCCTCTTCTTTCCTGAAGCAGTCTTGATACTTGTCAGCATTAATTTGGGGTGGGAACAGTGGATTATAGGGAAAGTGTCCTGGCATAAGGAGTTCCAAATTCTCCTGGGCTTACCACTTTCTAGCCATGTAATCCTGAGGAGGTCCTTCACTACTGTAAGGCTCAGTTTCCCACCAGTGTAATGGGGCCATATCATTTTTCTCACAGGTTTGTGGTAAACACTGAGATAACATTTGTGACACGATTTTTGAAAGCGCTTTACAATATCTTTTTCGTGGCATCTATCCCCCTATAGGTCTTGGCTGTGTGTGTGTATGTGTGCACGTGTGCACGTGCAGCACTTTGAGGTTAGGAGTTCTTTTGAGAAGACAAAGGTTTTACTTCTACATTTTCTTAGCATCCAGTTTGTGCTAAGGATTGAGGTGAAAAAATTCAGTCTATGCCCTCAAGGGCCTCCTGGTCCACTAGGAAAGAGAGATGGATAAAGAGATGCTCAGTGCATCATGAATGTGGGTGGGCACAGTGAAAAGGGGACCCAGTAGTGTGTGTGTGTGTGTGTGTGTGTGTGTGTTGGGGGTGGAGGGGAGTCCGGGCAACCCCCACCCCTTCCAATCGGTGTAGACCGGAGGGTAGTTTGAGAAACCTCTCTGTAGCCTGGATGCCGCCGGCTCGCCTCTCGCCCGGCCCTCCGGAGCGGGGAGGAGAGAGACAGAAGCCCCCTCCCCGCCCGCGGGCCAACCTGCCTCCCGCTAGCCGGCCGGCGCCTTACCGAGTCAGACCACTGGGAGGCTGGGGGAGCCGGGTTGGGCGAGGAGGCGAGCGAGATGGGGGAGCTCTTATTTTGACAGGGGCCTCTCCGGGCTCTGGTATGAAGGCAGAAGGAGGCAGCCAGAGAGCCCCGATGCTTATTCAGGCTGGGGAGCGGAGCCGAGCGGAGGGGCGAGCGAGGCTCCGGCAGCGCAGGGGAGCCCGGGGAGGCGGCGGCGCGCGGCAGAGCCAGTGGCCGGACATGCCCCGGAGCCGGGGCCGCTGCACCACCGCCGCCGCCCGGAGCCAGCCGGCCGGACGCCCGCACGCCTGGGTCCCCCGGCGCCGCGCCGCGCGGGGGCTGCGACCCGGACCCTCGGCGTCCGACCAACAATAAGCGCCCAGACAGCCCCCTCCCCGCCCCGCGCCCGCCGTCCCCGCGGGCCTCGGGGAAAGTGAAAGGAGGAGGCGAAGGAAGGGAGGAAGGAAGGAAGGAAGCGAGGAAGGAAGGAAGGAAGGAAGGGAGGAGGAGCAGGAGCCGGAGCCGTGAGGTTCGGGGCCGAGCCCCCAGCCCCCAGCCCCGAGCCCGAGCCCCGAGCCCCGGGCCGGGCGGCGTGCACGCTCTCCCGCCGCTGTCCGGCGCCCACGACCATGCTCGGCGGTTGGGAGGCAGGAACCCCGGCGCCCAGCGACCCCCGGATACCCTCTCCCGGGCCGGGCTGGTGTTGAGATCGAGGCGTCCAGGATCAAAAGGTCACCGCCTGCCCGCCCCCCTCCGCACCTCCAACTGGCAAGCCGGAGGACCCCCATCCAGTCACCGACCCTGACCGGGTCATGGCGTCCAGCTCCGGCCTGGCGTGAGGACCCCCGACCCGCGCGAGGTGAGGGGTGGGCTGGGGCCGAGGGCGAAAGTCATGCCAGGCAGGCAGCGGCGCGAGGAGGGAGATCCAGCTTGAACTGGGGAGGGGGGAACCCAGTCTAATTGTCTGTTGCCCTCTGGCACGCGCCCCCAGGCTGTTTGAGGGGTGGGGGACGCCCCCAGGGTGAGTGGTGGCTGCTCTCGGGGCCGCGATCAGGTTGGCAGCCCCAGGGCTCAGGGGGGAGGGCTTAGGGGCAGCCGGGGGACCCTGCCACCCTAGCGCAGAGAACAAGGCCGGCCTTGGGCCAGCTGGAGCAGCAACCTTGCCCTGGGGGCTTCTGGGAGATGTAGTCCCCCTCCCAGGCTCACCAGCCCCTTGGGTCTCAGCACCCCGGCACTCCTCCCCTGGCTACTGGGAGCCTCCAGAAGGAGGTGCATGAGGAGGGGGGCTTGCTGGGGTTACCCTCTGGCCCCAGGCAGTGCCTGGGAGCAGCAGGGGCTGCGACTGGAGGAGTCTCCCCGGCCAAGGATTCTCAGTGGTGTGGGCTTGGCTGGGGGGTGGGGCAGTCACACAGTATCTCGGAGGTGTCCCTGCACTGCTAAGGGGAGGCTCCCCCTGCCTCGGTTTGGGGGAGCCCTTGGGGGAGGAATATGGGGAAGAGAAGTGAGGCTTCAGGCTTCTTGCTTGCCTGGGGAATGTCCTGTCCCTGGGCTGCTGGAATTTGGTTTCAGGAGACACTGAAGTCTACTCTCCCCTTCTCCCTCTGGGTTGCTGAGAAGGAGTGTGTCCCTCGCAGTCTGGGAGTCTGGAGGGTGTCTCTCTGGAGCAGTGAAGCCAGGATCTGCTTCTGTCTGTCTGTCCAGCCTCCTTCCTTCCGGGTTTTTCTGACACCCCCCTCCTCCCTCCTCCTTGAGTCTGTCTGCTGCATGGGGTGTGTGTCTGTGTCTGGGGTGGGGGTGCGTGCTCTGCAGCAGGGAGGGCAAGTGTCGCTCTGGGAGAGGTGAGCTGGGCTTGTGGCTGAGCCTTGGGATAGGGGCTTGAGGCCAGCTTGATCTTTGGCCTTGGTTTCCTGTTTTACCTAGGAAAGCTGTCTTCACACTGTGTCTGCTGGAATCCTACTGATGCCTCTAGGCAGCTCTCTGAGTACAAGCTCCAGGGTGGTTGGGCTTCCACTCCTCAGTCTCTCCAGAGAGCAGCCACTTCTGGGGGGGCCTGGCTTTTCTGCTGCTCCCCAGCAAGGTCTTGCTCTCTCTGGTCAGGGCCACAACTTCATGGCCCCAGGGGAAGAGCATGATCAGGCCCTGTTTTTCTGGTGTCATCTGTGAGGCGCCTGCAGATAGAAGCCTCAGGACTCAGGAAGCAGTGAGAATGGGCCAGGAAGGTGAGGGGTAAGGAAAGTCTGGTAGGGAGGGAAGGTGCTGTTTCCCCTAGGTGATCAGGCTCCTTGGCCTTGGAGAACCAGGCATGGAAGGCCAGGTTCTAGCCACCTCCTTCTAGAGGTTCTCTGCTTACCTGTGTTGCTCCTGATTAGGGGTGGATCGGGGTGGGGGGGGCGAGGTTTAATGTTTGAAAGGGTGCTGGTTAGGGGTAGAATGCCTATAATCATCCATCCAGGGCAACTCTTGTGCTTGGGATAGCAGGGCCCCCGTGGCTGGAGATGGGTTCTGGAGGTCAATGTGGAGGTTCAAAATGAGTCTCTAATTACCAGGGTTGAGGGTCAAGGCGGGAAGAGATTACAGAGTCCTGGAGAAGGTGGTCCACAGAAATCTGGGACTAGCACAGCAGTGGTAATGAGGGGCCTCGTGAACTTGCTTATTGAACCTGTGCTGGGCACCCCATGCCTCTGTCTGGGTAGTTCCTGCCCCCAGCTTCTAGATACCCGGGTTAAACAGGAGCCATGGGCTGGGGACTCAACTTCCCTGAACAAGCAGGGCAGTAGCCTTCTGGGCAGAGGCCTAGTGGGTGGCAGTGTCAACTCAGCAAGGGCTGGAATGCCTGGCACCTGCTTTAGATGAAAGGAGATGCCTGCAAAGGGGGGATGCCTGCCTGCCTGCCTGTGGGGGAGCAGCTGGATGGAGCTCTGAGTAGCCCGGGAGTGAGGTGACAGGAAAGGGCCAGGGCTGCAGGTAGCAGCAGCTCTGGCAAGAGTGGAAGGAGCCAGCCCTCCCCCAGCTCTATAGCCCCTCCTCCGGGGAGTCTAAGAACCAGAGCTGGGGGCACCCCCACACTGCCTCTGGTGCCACAGGCTGAACGTCCGCCCCAGTACCCAGGGGACAGGGCAGCTGCGGGGAGC